AAAAAAAAAAAAAAAAGTGCCAGACACGTTTTCCTTTTATGAAGCTGCTGAACATAGAACCAAGCACGAAATGAAGTAAGCATTTATTCTTTTTAAATAAACACTTACGCTGATTTTGTTATTTTGTTCTGAAGAATATTTTAACACTCCTATTAAGAAAGCCACATACCAACCCTGGAAACAGAAGGCACCAAAAACATTTGTCAGCCTTACTACCTTTTTTGTGATGTGTTCAAACATTTTTCACTGAAATCCTACTTGACTCTTAAAAATAACATAATCAAGTCTATTTAAAACCCTCCTAAATTATGGTTATTTTTTTTTCTGTGATTTTAACCTCTTTCTATCCCCAGGCTCCTCGAATTTAATGAGTTCACAATTAAAGGGTCTCTTGGTTCCCTGCAATCCTGACATGGTTATCTTGCTCTTCCTTCAATTATGCCAATCACTTTATACCTGTCAAAGTTGGATATACTTGTAATAACTAGGAGAAGAAAAGTAGTCTATATTTTATTAGTGCACATAAAACAATCAAATAGTAAAAGGGAATCAGATAATCTCTTGCATGACATGTGCTTCTTGTTGGAGTAATCTGCTTTCATAACAAGTTCTAAAATCTCTCTCTATATACATATAAATTATATGTATATAGTTCTAAAATATATGTATATGTGTGTGTTTATTTTTCAAAAGGGGATTCTAACTGAAATATTGTAGCAGGAAACCTAAAATAAATTTTAGTTGTTCTGAAATTGTGAATATGTTATATACTGCATATAATGCATAATATATTAAATCCACAGATGTATGAATACTTGTGTAAGTAAATTTATTGGAAAACTTAGTAGACAGAATATTCAATATCATATCCAAACATGAAACTTTTTTAAGTTAGTATTTCTTAAGTGCTTAAAACTGTAAGATACATAATAAGTGTTTTATAAGAATTTGTTAAATAAAGTACTATGTCTAACTGAGAATTCTTTTTTAAACCAAAAGTCTGTCTTAAACACCTCCAGTGTTTGCAGTGAATGATGAAATATGGAAGGGTAACAATCCACTTTTCTCAGGATAACCTGAAGCCTTTTGCAATCTTTACTCAAGAACTATTTCTGCTAAAAAAAAAAAAAATGCACATATATATATTTATATTCCACTTAATTATTTCACTAAATGAGTTTGGTACAAATAATAATCCTATGAAAGGATTTACTGCTAACTGATGTTCATATTGCTTCCTCTTTATGCTAAAAATGTTTTCTTTTTATACAACAGCAAATTACAAATAAATTTTATTTAACTAGCAAGATTAAGTTCCAGTCACAATATTAAATATATTTTTAAAAAATTACAAAGGAATCAACAAAAGAGCAAAGGTCAAAATAATGGTAAACCACTGCTAACTTAGAAAAAGGATTATAATTATTTTTCAAAATAAATAAAAAATGTACTCAAAAGGTACCATCTGTAGAAATATTATATTTAATATTAATAATTCCATTACTTGAAGTTAAAGATTATCTTACAGAAGTCATAAAATTTCAGATGAATAAGAAAAAAGTTATTATTTTACAAAGAAACCACAATCTAATGTTGCCATTTTGCAAGAGAAAATGTTTTTGTGTATTTTTCTTTCTTTCAGAGGCCATGTGGCCCCTCCCACTTGTTCTGTGCCCTGCCTGGTTATTTCTTGATGTTCTCTTTTCAACTGCATCCATCATGCATCTCTGTGCCATTTCAGTGGATCGCTACATAGCCATCAAAAAGCCAATCCTGGCCAATCAATATAACTCAAGGGCTACAGCGTTCATCAAGATAACAGTGGTATGGTTAATTTCAATAGGTATGTGGGGAATATCAGAGTGTGGGCGGTATATATAGCCTTTAGTTCCATTTGGCTAGGAGAAAAGTAGGTCTGGTAATCCATGAAACTCTGCATGAAATATCCAAGGAGCCTACTGATGTGCCAATACAAGTTCTTTATTTCATCACATCATACAACTTCCAAACCACACTATTAGTAAAAAGTAGGAATTAGTAGCAAAGTATATGACCACAGAAAAGAATCACCTTCACAGTGTTTACTAAGATTTTCTTTTCACTTTTTTATATGCAAAATTGTTTTCATATTTGTCTAAAATCTACATCTAAGAAAATAAATGGGAAAATAAAAAAAGCAAAAAACTAAAACAAAACCAACAGGCCAAACATTTTGTAGGCCTGTATCAAAATATCAATGCATCTTAGAAGCCATCACTTTAATGCATATATGTACAAACTAAAGGCAGTTAAGTATCTGCTGGTGTTCTGAAGATGTTTAATCCGAAGTTTTAAGAGAGACTCAAAGAAAATATGTTAAACTGACATTCAGAAATGATTTATATGGGCTCGGCACTTGTAGCTCAGTGGGTTATGAGTGTCATCCACATACAATGAGACTGGTGGGTATACAACGAGACTGGTGGGTTTGAACCCAGCCTAGGCCAGCTAAACAATGACAACTGCAACAAAACATAGCTGGGCGTGTGGTGGATACCTGTAGTCCCAGCTACTTGGGAGGTAGAGGCAAGAGAATCTTGGGCTTAAGCCCAAGAGTTTGAAGCTGCTGTGAGCTGTGACATAACAAGGGCGACAGTAAAACTCTGTCTCAAAAAAAAGAAAAGGAATTATTTATATGGCTGGGCGTGGTGGCTCATGCCTGTAATCCTAGCACTCTGGGAGGCCAAGGTGCGTGGATAGCTTGAACTCACTGAGTTTGAAACCAGCCTGAGTAAAAGCGAGACCCTGTCTCTACTAAAGATAGAAAAAAAAATAAGCAAGAGGAACACTTGATCCCAAGAGTTTGAGGTTGCTGTAAGCTATGACACCATAGCATTCTACCATTCTACCCAGTGACAGCTTGAGACTCTGTCTCAAATAAAAAAAAACAAAAAAACAAAAAACAACAGAAATGATTTATAAAAATTCCCATTTCTCCTAAACTGTTCTATGCCCCATACCCATCTTTAATGTTTAAAGACAGCTGTTTTAACAGTATCTTAGCCTGAAGTGCAGCACAAATTAAGAGGTATAGCTCCTAAAATTAACTCAATATTATCTTGTTTTCCTCTTCCTTAGGCATTGCCATTCCAATTCCTATTAAAGGGATAGAGACTAATGTGGATAACCCAAACAACATCACTTGTGTGCTGACAAAGGAACGATTTGGCAATTTCATGCTCTTTGGCTCACTGGCTGCTTTCTTTACACCTCTTGCAATCATGATTGTCACCTACTTTCTAACTATACATGCTTTACAAAAAAAAGCTTACTTGGTCAAAAACAAGCCACCTCAACGTCTAACATGGCTGACTGTATCGACAGTTTTCCAGAGGGATGAAACACCTTGTTCCTCACCCGAAAAGGTGGCAATGCTAGATGGTGCTCGCAAGGACAAAACTCTCCCCAACTCAAGGGATGAAACATTTATGCGAAGAATGTCCTCAGTTGGAAAAAAGTCAGTACAGACCATTTCCAATGAACAGAGAGCCTCGAAGGTCCTAGGGATTGTGTTTTTCCTTTTTTTGGTTATGTGGTGTCCCTTTTTTATTACAAATATAACTTTAGTTTTGTGTGATTCCTGCAACCAAACTACTCTCCAAATGCTCCTGGAGATATTTGTGTGGATAGGCTATGTTTCCTCAGGGGTGAATCCTTTGGTTTATACCCTCTTCAACAAGACATTTCGGGATGCATTTGGCAGATACATCACCTGCAATTACCAGACTACAAAGTCGGTAAAAACTCTTAGAAAATGTTCCAGTAAGATCTACTTCCGGAATCCAATGGCAGAAAACCCTAAGTTTTTCAAAAAACATGGAATTCGGAATGGGATTAATCCTGCTATGTACCAGAGTCCAATGAGGCACCGTAGTTCAACCATTCAGTCTTCATCAATTATTCTACTAGATACACTCCTCCTCACTGAAAATGAAGGTGATAAGACTGAAGAGCAAGTCAGTTATGTATAGCAAAACTGGCATGGTTTTCATCTAGCGAACATGATGATGAGTGAGATGATGAATGTGATGTAAATGTACCAAGAATCCTACAAAGAACAACTTTATGTCATATATCGAATCATCTCTTTAACTTAAGAGTTAAGTATTAAGATTATCTAATTTTCCTTATTTGGACAAAATTACTCCAAGAAAATAATTTTATATAAATAAGAACAACCCAGTAATCAGTTAAATGTCAGGTATTCAAAAGAAATCAAATAAAACAATAAATTTTAGGTTTAAAAAATACTCAATGTTGTCATAAAATTTATTAAATTCCTAATTACATGGCTTGGCACCTGTAGCTCAAGCTGCTAAGGTGCCAGCCACATACACCAGAGCTGGTAGGTTTGAATCCAGCCTGGGCCTGCCAAACAATGACAACTGCAACAAAAAATAGCCAGGCATTATGGCGGGTGCCTGTAGTCTCAGCTGCTTGGGAGGCTGAGGCAAGAGAATCACTTAAGCCCAGGAGTTGGAGGGTGCTGTGAGCTGCGATGCCAAGCACTCTACCCAGGGTGACAGCTGGAGGTTCTGTCTCAAAAAAAGAAGTTCCTAATTATATGCAAAGTTGTGCTAACAGTAAAATTAAAAGAAAAACAACAACAACAACAAAAAACCAGTCTTGTCTTTAAGGCCTTAGCAGCAGAAGGAAAGATACAGAACAAAAGTGACAGGGACAAAGAGCTAAAAATAAGTACATAAAATAACGGTCGTATCTTGAGATTGCCATCTATAGTCTAGTTTAAACATAGTCATAATTTTCCTTTGGCCAGGAAACTTTGTTGATGGAAGGCTAGGGAGGATAGCAGTTGGATATCACACAAAATAACAGGATCTTAGAACCAGGCCTGTTTGTTAAATGGCTGATACCAGATGTCTATTCAGGAGAGGTGGGTCTACTGAAGAAGAAAGAAAAAGCAAAATTTCTCTTGGGTACCTGAACCTATCACGTTCCTTAAAGATGTTAATGATGTTCTTCCATGCACAAGCTGGAAGAATGGGACCTCAATATGGGGATCTAAATTTTAAATGATCTCATAAACTGAGATCACAGCTGCCTGTGCTAGCCCAATGACTCAGTGCAACTTCTGGCATAAAATTTTTTCATTCCTTTCATTATTTCATTTTACATTTTTAGATTTGGGAATGAATCCAACCTCTGACATTTACTAGATAATTGATTAAGTTTAGGAGAAATAATTTCTTTGAGAACTATATTTTCACCTACATTTTAAACAGTTCTTATGTGGATGAGGTACATAGTTGGAACTCAGTAAATGTCAACCAATTCTATTTACTTCTGATAATTTTTTTAACTGCTACTCCAATAAGTGGTAAACAATTGAGGCTGAGGGGTCTGTAGTCAAGATACCTTACTTTTTCTTTTCAGGTTAAACCATACTTATGCCTCAACCTATGCTATCCTCTTCTAGGCAAGTCAGTTTAGGATAATTACCTCAAAAAATGTGTTGCCTATGGAAAATCTCAGTATAAGTGATAATCAAGTATATATTCTCCCAATGGCAGAATCCTTTCCTAGAAGTTGGTTCTAAATCACAGGCCTTAATCTGTACTTTTTCTTACTGGCTCTTCCTGGATGGAGGAGTACATCTTGCAAATACCTAAATCATCAAAGCTTTAGGCATTTTTTCCCTACCAGTCTCAGATTTTTCAGTAGTACTAAAAGTGTGTAACTCAGATAACAGGAAAAATCATTTACATGCTCCTCCCAAAAATCATTCTCTATTTTGGTTCCAGTATCTAATATGAAGGGCCTGGCATATGTTAAGTAAGATCTATATTTTTGCCAGTGTATGTGAGATTATGTTTTCAGGTATTACTACAACGGTATTCCAAATTCTATACTTTATTCAACTGAAGTCATTCATGATTGTTTCAAGAAATTTAAATACTAGAGTTGGCAACCAGACTGCCAAAGTTCTACCCATAAACAGTCTAGACAAGAAGACCTATCTTCTACATGCTCTGTACTGCCTCTGAATTTGGGTGCTTAAACATATGAACACCTACAAAACTAACCTATAAACTATTTAGCTTTAAATCCTTGAAAAAAAAAAAAGAAATTCCTTGGTTACAATTAACTGAGTGATCTTTCCATAGCTAATGAGAGATCATTCTAATATTTTCACAATATTCTAGAAAATGAAGTATGACTCTAATATCAATTATTTTTTCCAATATCAACTATTTCTGAAAAAGTACATCATAGCCCCAAGGTTTTTACCACTTTGATGCATAACTGATAATTTCCATTTTATAAATATTTTGTCTATAATTAGGAGGCAAATCTCAGAAGATAAATTATTAGAGTCCCTAGTTAATAATCTTACTATTTAAAGTAAAGGAATAGATTATAGCTGTTTAGATTAATTACAAAAAAACTTTGATTTTATTTCAAATTATTGTCAATTAACAGAGAAAAGGAAACAAATATATAAAAATACCATGAAAATGACAAAAAATAAGGAAAAGTCACAGCATTCAGAACATAAACACAAAGATACTGAGGAAGAAATAGAGAACAGCATACAGAAAATATGTATCAAACTAATATAAAACTGATTAAAGATACTATAAAGATTAATCATACATTTGGTGGCAACTGGTTGAGAGGGTTCTTTCAAACTATAAAGATCTATAATCATGTGACATTTTTATATTCAAGAAATCAATTTTGTATGATCTAAACAATACCTGCACCAATGATCTCTTGCTCACTTTGCAAGATTAATCCGTACCTGAAAGCTCATAAAAGAATGCACTGAGAAATATCTAATTTTACATTGTAACACCCTAAGTCATAATTAGGGACCTCCAAGATTGCCTAATTTTTAAGAAACGCCCTTACCAGAATATCAATTTATTCACTGTAGCAACTTAAAGAACAAACTTCTTTTGCTTTCTTTCTTCATTTTTCTTTCTAGTGACAAGTCAAAATAATTCAGGTTCTATTCATGTCCAAATGAGTTTCAGTCAATGCCAAGAATAGTATTGTACAGAGTTGTTATAATAATAATAATAATTTGCCAACTAGGCCAATAAGAAGAGCCCAGAAATCACTTATTTATTAGATATTCCACCAGAGAACATTTATATAAAAAATTACTATACTATGTTCATTCAACTAAACAAAAATAGTTTTTTTTTTAAATTTTTTACTTTTTTTTCCCTCTGAGACAGAGCCTTAAGCTGTCACCCTGGGTAGAGTGCTATGTCATTATAGCTCACAGCAACCTCCAGCTCCTGGGCTCCAGCGAGTCTCCTGCTTCCTCCTCCCAAGTAGCTGGGACTACAGGTGCCTACCACACACCCAGCTATTTTTTTGGTTGCGGCCATTATTGTTGTTTGGCGGGCCCGGGCTCAGGTGTATGTGGCTGGTGCCTTAGCTGCTTGAGTCACAGGTGCCAAGCCAAATTTTTTACTTTTATCATTGGATTATAAACAAATAATAATCCACAAATACCAGGAGAAAGACATAATAAAAACACTACAACTCCCTGACTAGTCTATGAATAAAGGAGAGAATATATTTGAAAATTTTATACACAGTTGATAGTATAAATGTTTATTAACATATTTTCATTATTCATGTTTATAAGTACATCTAAAAAAAGTTTTAAAAGTTAAGAAATAAATCGTTAAAACATGGTGCAAGAAAGCCAAATGTCTGCAAAAGCATTTTAAAAGTGAAATCTAGGCTCGGCGCCTGTGGCTCAAGTGGCTAAGGCACCAGTCACATACACCTAAGGTGGCGGGTTCAAATCTAGCCCGGGCCTGCCAAAACAACAATGACAGCTGCAACCAAAAAAATAGCTGGGTGTTGTAGCAGTAACCTGTGGTCCCAGCTACTTGGGAGGCTGAAGGAGGACACTTGCTTGAGCCCAGGAGTTGGAGGTTGCTGTGGGCTATGATGCCACAGCACTCCATCCAGGG